GGCTCTGGAAGGTCTAGAGCCTCCATTTTGCGCTCAGGTCAAAGTCTCGCGGCCCTCTATCATAATCCAGAGTTTGAGAAGATTGAGAAAACTTGATTTTTCGCCGAAAACTGAAAAAAACGTAAGGGGTAACACTGTCGTTTTTTTTCGGGTCGAAATTTTGAGTTTCGATATCTCAGCTCTGGAAGGGTCTAGAGCCTCCATTTTTGCGCTCAGGTCAAAGTCTCGCGGCCCTCTATCATAATCCAGAGTTTTGAGAAGATTGGAGAAACTTGATTTTTCGCCGAAAACTGAAAAAAAACGTAAGGGGTAACACTGTCGTTTTTTTTCGGGTCGAAATTTTGAGTTTCGATATCTCAGCTCTGGAAGGGTCTAGAGCCTCCATTTTTGCGCTCAGGTCAAAGTCTCGCGGCCCTCTATCATAATCCAGAGTTTTGAGAAGATTGGAGAAACTTGATTTTTCGCCCGAAAACTGAAAAAAACGTAAGGGTAACACTGTCGTTTTTTTTCGGGTAGAAATTTTGAGTTTCGATATCTCAGCTCTGGAAGGGTCTAGAGCCTCCATTTTTGCGCTCAGGTCAAAGTCTCGCGGCCCTCTATCATAATCCAGAGTTTTGAGAAGATTGGAGAAACTTGATTTTTCGCCCGAAAACTGAAAAAAACGTAAGGGTAACACTGTCGTTTTTTTTTTCGGGTCGAAATTTTGAGTTTCGATATCTCAGCTCTGGAAGGGTCTAGAGCCTCCATTTTGCGCTCAGGTCAAAGTCTCGCGGCCCTCTATCATAATCCAGAGTTTTGAGAAGATTGGAGAAACTTGATTTTTCGCCCGAAAACTGAAAAAACGTAAGGGGTAACACTGTCGTTTTTTTTTCGGGTCGAAATTTTGAGTTTCGATATCTCAGCTCTGGAAGGGTCTAGAGCCTCCATTTTTGCGCTCAGGTCAAAGTCTCGCGGCCCTCTATCATAATCCAGAGTTTTGAGAAGATTGGAGAAACTTGATTTTTCGCCCGAAAACTGAAAAAAAACGTAAGGGGTAACACTGTCGTTTTTTTTTCGGGTCGAAATTTTGAGTTTCGATATCTCAGCTCTGGAAGGGTCTAGAGCCTCCATTTTTGCGCTCAGGTCAAAGTCTCGCGGCCCTCTATCATAATCCAGAGTTTTGAGAAGATTGGAGAAACTTGATTTTTCGCCCGAAAACTGAAAAAAACGTAAGGGGTAACACTGTCGTTTTTTTTTTCGGGTCGAAATTTTGAGTTTCGATATCTCAGCTCTGGAAGGGTCTAGAGCCTCCATTTTTGCGCTCAGGTCAAAGTCTCGCGGCCCTCTATCATAATCCAGAGTTTTGAGAAGATTGGAGAAACTTGATTTTTCGCCCGAAAACTGAAAAAAAACGTAAGGGGTAACACTGTCGTTTTTTTTCGGGTCGAAATTTTGAGTTTCGATATCTCAGCTCTGGAAGGGTCTAGAGCCTCCATTTTTGCGCTCAGGTCAAAGTCTCGCGGCCCTCTATCATAATCCAGAGTTTTGAGAAGATTGGAGAAACTTGATTTTTCGCCCGAAAACTGAAAAAAACGTAAGGGGTAACACTGTCGTTTTTTTTCGGGTCGAAATTTTGAGTTTCGATATCTCAGCTCTGGAAGGGTCTAGAGCCTCCATTTTTGCGCTCAGGTCAAAGTCTCGCGGCCCTCTATCATAATCCAGAGTTTTGAGAAGATTGGAGAAACTTGATTTTTCGCCCGAAAACTGAAAAAAACGTAAGGGGTAACACTGTCGTTTTTTTTTCGGGTCGAAATTTTGAGTTTCGATATCTCAGCTCTGGAAGGGTCTAGAGCCTCCATTTTTGCGCTCAGGTCAAAGTCTCGCGGCCCTCTATCATAATCCAGAGTTTTGAGAAGATTGGAGAAACTTGATTTTTCGCCCGAAAACTGAAAAAAACGTAAGGGGTAACACTGTCGTTTTTTTTTCGGGTCGAAATTTTGAGTTTCGATATCTCAGCTCTGGAAGGGTCTAGAGCCTCCATTTTTGCGCTCAGGTCAAAGTCTCGCGGCCCTCTATCATAATCCAGAGTTTTGAGAAGATTGGAGAAACTTGATTTTTCGCCCGAAAACTGAAAAAACGTAAGGGGTAACACTGTCGTTTTTTTTTCGGGTCGAAATTTTGAGTTTCGATATCTCAGCTCTGGAAGGGTCTAGAGCCTCCATTTTTGCGCTCAGGTCAAAGTCTCGCGGCCCTCTATCATAATCCAGAGTTTTGAGAAGATTGGAGAAACTTGATTTTTCGCCCGAAAACTGAAAAAAACGTAAGGGGTAACACTGTCGTTTTTTTTTCGGGTCGAAATTTTGAGTTTCGATATCTCAGCTCTGGAAGGGTCTAGAGCCTCCATTTTTGCGCTCAGGTCAAAGTCTCGCGGCCCTCTATCATAATCCAGAGTTTTGAGAAGATTGGAGAAACTTGATTTTTCGCCCGAAAACTGAAAAAAACGTAAGGGGTAACACTGTCGTTTTTTTTTCGGGTCGAAATTTTGAGTTTCGATATCTCAGCTCTGGAAGGGTCTAGAGCCTCCATTTTTGCGCTCAGGTCAAAGTCTCGCGGCCCTCTATCATAATCCAGAGTTTTGAGAAGATTGGAGAAACTTGATTTTTCGCCCGAAAACTGAAAAAAACGTAAGGGGTAACACTGTCGTTTTTTTTTCGGGTCGAAATTTTGAGTTTCGATATCTCAGCTCTGGAAGGGTCTAGAGCCTCCATTTTTGCGCTCAGGTCAAAGTCTCGCGGCCCTCTATCATAATCCAGAGTTTTGAGAAGATTGGAGAAACTTGATTTTTCGCCCGAAAACTGAAAAAAACGTAAGGGGTAACACTGTCGTTTTTTTTTCGGGTCGAAATTTTGAGTTTCGATATCTCAGCTCTGGAAGGGTCTAGAGCCTCCATTTTTGCGCTCAGGTCAAAGTCTCGCGGCCCTCTATCATAATCCAGAGTTTTGAGAAGATTGGAGAAACTTGATTTTTCGCCCGAAAACTGAAAAAAACGTAAGGGGTAACACTGTCGTTTTTTTTTCGGGTCGAAATTTTGAGTTTCGATATCTCAGCTCTGGAAGGGTCTAGAGCCTCCATTTTTGCGCTCAGGTCAAAGTCTCGCGGCCCTCTATCATAATCCAGAGTTTTGAGAAGATTGGAGAAACTTGATTTTTCGCCCGAAAACTGAAAAAAACGTAAGGGGTAACACTGTCGTTTTTTTTTCGGGTCGAAATTTTGAGTTTCGATATCTCAGCTCTGGAAGGGTCTAGAGCCTCCATTTTTGCGCTCAGGTCAAAGTCTCGCGGCCCTCTATCATAATCCAGAGTTTTGAGAAGATTGGAGAAACTTGATTTTTCGCCCGAAAACTGAAAAAAACGTAAGGGGTAACACTGTCGTTTTTTTTTCGGGTCGAAATTTTGAGTTTCGATATCTCAGCTCTGGAAGGGTCTAGAGCCTCCATTTTTGCGCTCAGGTCAAAGTCTCGCGGCCCTCTATCATAATCCAGAGTTTTGAGAAGATTGGAGAAACTTGATTTTTCGCCCGAAAACTGAAAAAAACGTAAGGGGTAACACTGTCGTTTTTTTTTCGGGTCGAAATTTTGAGTTTCCATATCTCAGCTCTGGAAGGGTCTAGAGCCTCCATTTTTGCGCTCAGGTCAAAGTCTCGCGGCCCTCTATCATAATCCAGAGTTTTGAGAAGATTGGAGAAACTTGATTTTTC